GGCACTCTTGGGCTCGATTGGGGCATCTTAGGATCGTCTTGGAGGCCATACTTTGGCTATCTTGGACTCTCTTGGGGCCTCTCGTGGGCCTCTTGGGGCCCTTTTTGGGCTTCTCGGGGGCCTCTTTGGCCGTCTTACGGCGTTCCTGGCCTGTCTGACGCCGTCGGGAGCCGTCTTGGGGGCCTCTCTGAACCGACTTGGGATTCTCTTGGGGCGCTTCGGGGCCGTCTTGGACGCCATCTTGGGTGTCTTGGAGGTCTCTTGGGCCGTCTTGGGGCCCTCTTGGGGCCGTCTTGGAGGCTTCTTGGACCGTCATTGGGCCCTCTTGGAGCCCTCTTGGGCGATCTTGGGGCGATCTTGGGGGCCTCTTGGGCCGTCTTGAGCCGTCGGAATGCCGGGAAGAAGCGAATGCCAAAATCCTTGAAAGACCTAAGGAAAATCAATGATCTTGGCCTCTTCGGCCCCTTTGAAGGACCTCTTGGGGGCCTCTTGGGCTGTCTTGGAGGCCTCTTGGGGGCCTCTGGGGCCGTCTTGGGCCATCTTGAGGCCATCTGAGGCCGTCTTGGGTGCATCTTGGGCCGTTTTGGAGGTATCTTGGGGCCATCTTGGCCGTGGGCCGTCTTGGAGCCGTCTGGAGCAGGAAAATCCCTTGGCAACCAGCTCCGGGCAAGCCAGGCAATCTTTCCGGGTGGCCGTCGATACCGGCCGAAGCCCCAGGGGGAGTTCTTTTGGAAGAAGAAGCAAAAGCAAACATTGAAAGGATCTAGCACGCCAGGCACCCTTGTAGCAAACGTCTTGGAGGGGTCTTGAGCCGTAGGCCTCTTGCGGGCGTTTTGGGCAGTCTAAGGCCATCTTCAGGCCATCTGGGGCCGTCTTGGGTGCATCTTGGGGCCATCTTCCCTGTCTCGGAGGCCTTCTTGGTCGTCTTCGAGGCATCTTGGAGGCCATCTTGGCCGTCTTGGAGGCCATCTTCGGCGGCCTTCGGGGCCATTGTGGGCAGTCTTGGGCTCTTCTTGGGGCCGCGCCGTCTTGGAGGCCATCTTGAGCGTCTTGGAGACCTCCTGGGCCGTCTTGGGGGCCTCTTGGGGCCGTGTCTTGGGCCTCTTGGGCGATCTTTGGGCGCACTTGGGCCGTCTCGGGCCGTCGGACGGCCGAACAAAAGCAAATGCCACAATCCTTCAAAAACACATGGGAAATCAATGATGTTGGCCTTTTCGGGCCTTCCCGGCCTCTTGGGCCGCCTTGGGCCATCTTAGGGCCATGTTCGGCCGTCTTGGGCCATCTTAGGGCCATGTTCGGCCGTCTTGGTGGGCTCCTGGTCCGTCTGACGCCGTCGGAAGCAGTTTGGGGGGCCTCTATGGGCCGACTTGGGGCCCTCTTGGAATGCTCTTGGGGCCGTCTTGGAGGCCATCTTGGGCGTGTTGGAGGCCTCCCGTGCCGTCTTGGGGGCCTCTTGTGGCCGTCTTAGGGCTCTCTTGGGCCGTTCTGGGGTCATTTTAGAGGCCTCTTGGGCGATCTTTCGGCGATATTCGGAGGCTCTTGGGCCGTCTCGGGCCGTCGGAAGGCCGAAAGGAAGCAAATGTCAACATCCGTCGAAAACCGTAGGAAAATCAATATTTTTGGCCTCTTCTGGCCTTCCTGGAGGCCCTCTTGGGGGCCTCTTGGACCGTCTTGGGCCAGCTTCGAGCCAACTTCGGCCATCTTGGTGGGTTCCTAGCACGTCTGACGCCGTCGGGAGCCGTCTTGGGGGCCTTTCTGGGCCGACTTGGGGCCCTCTTGGGGCGCTTCGGGGCCGTCTTGGAGGCCATCTTCGCTGTCTTGGAGCCCATCTTGGGCGTGTTGGAGGCCTCTTGGGCCGCCTTGGGGCCCTCTTGGTACCATCTTGGAGGCCTCCTGGGCCGTCACGGGGCCCTCTTGGAGGCCTCTTGGGCGATCTTGGGGCGATCTTGGGGGTCTCTTGGGTCGTCTGGGGCCGTCGGAATGCCGAGAAGAAGCAAATGCCAAAATCCTTCAAACATGATTTTTGCCTCTTCGGGCCTTCCTGGAGGACCTCTTGGAGGCCTCTTGGGCCGTCTTGGAGGCCTCTTGGGGGCCGTCTTGGGCCATCTTCAGGCTATCTTAGGCCGTCTAGGGTACATCTTGGGCCGTCTTGGAGGCATCTTGGGGCCATCTGAGCCGTCTTGGAGGCCATCTTGAGCGTCTTGGATGCATCTTGGCCGTCTTGGAGGCCATCTTGGGGCCGTCTGGGGCAGGAAAACCGTATGCAACCGGGTCTTCCGGGTGGCCGGCGGGACCGGCCGAAGTCCCAGGGGGAGTTCTTTCGGAAAAAAACCAAAACCAAAAGCCATATCATCCAGCACGCCAGGCACCTCTTTGATACATGAAAAGGGGAGGAGGATCGAAGACGCCTACGGCGAATCACCGCCGCCCCCTGCCTTTTTGGAAGCGCCTATGTGGCCGAACGTTGAGGCCAGACCAGCCAAGCTATCGGACCATGTGTTCCCGGAATCGGTTTGGAAAGCCTTCGGGGAACACGTGGGCATCTTGAAGGTCATCTTGGCCGTCTGGAGGCCATTTTGACCCTTTCGGGCCTTCTTGAAGGACGTCTTGGAGACCTCTTGGGCCGTCTTGGAGGCCATCTTGAGCGTCTTGGTGGAGACCTGTTGTGCGATCTTTGGGGCCTCTGGGCCGTCTCGGGCCGTCGGAATGCAGAAAACAAGCAAATGCCACAATCCTTCAAAAACTAATGGGAAATCAATGATGTTGGCCTTTTCGGGCCTTCGTGGTGGCCCTCTTGGAGACCTCTTGGGCCGTCTTGGGCCATCTCAGGGCCATGTTCGGCCGTCTTGGTAGGCTCCTGGTCCGTCTGACGCCGTCGGAAGCCGTTTGGGGGGCCTCTATGGGCCGATTTGGGGCCCTCTTGGAATGCTCCAGGGCCTTCTTGGAGGTGGGCGTGTTGGAGGCCTCCCGTGCCACTTTGGGGCCCGCCTTGGGGCCCTCTTGGGGCCGTCTTGGAGGCCACTTGGGCCGGCATGGGGCCCTTTTGGGGGCCTTTCGGGCGATCTTGGGGGCCTCTTGTGCCGTCTTGGGCCGTCGGAAAGCCGAAACGACGCAAATGCCAAAATCCTTCAAAAACTCATGGGAAATCAGTGATTTTGACCCTTTCGGGCCTTCCTGGAGGACGTCTTGGAGGGCTCTTGGGCCGTCTTGGAGGCCTTTTGCGGGCCTGTTGGGCCGTCGTAGACCCTCTTAAGGTCATCTTGGGCAGTCTTGGAGGCATCTTGGGGCCATCTTAGCCGTCTTGGAGGCCATCTTGGGCCGTCTTGGAGACGTCTTGGAGACCATCCTGGGCCATCTTGGCCGTCTTGGACGCCATCTTGGGCCAACTGGAGGAAACAGAGGCAAGACGGATGCGTTTTGAGATCCTTTCCGGGTGGCCGGCGGAACGCGCCGGAGCCCCAGGGGGAGTTCTTTTGGAAAAAGAACCAACACCAAAACCGATAGGGTCTAAGACGCCAGGCACCCCTTTGATAAATCAAAAGGGGGCGGCGGATCCGAGTGGCCTTCGGCCCATCCCGCCACCGTGTCTGGGTTGTGGGTCCGAGGCCTCTTGAATATGTGTTGGGTTGTCGTGGAGAGCCTCTCGGGGGCCTCGTAGAGGCGGTTTGGGCGCCTCTTGGGGACCTCTCGGGGCCTCGTGGGGTATCTTTTGGGCTTCTTGGAGGCCTCTTGGGCGCGTCTTGGGCGCCTCTTGGGATCTCTCTTGCAGGAGATCGTGGCCTCGGGGGCGCGGATTTGGCGCGATTTGCGAGGGATCGTGGCTTCGGGGGCGCGAGCGTGGCGTAATTCACGCGGGATCGTGGCCTCGGGGGCGCGAATATGTAAGTGACGGAAGATCATGGCCTCGGGAGCGCGAGCGCTGTGTAATTTACGAGGGAACGTAGCTTCGGGGGCGCGACTGTGGCGCAACTTGCGGGGGGATCGTGGCCCCATAGGCGAGGACGTGGCGTAATTTACGGGGGATCGTGGCCTCAGGAGTGCGAATGTGGTGTATTTGATCGTGGCTCCAGGGGCGCGAATACAGCGTAAATGTACGAATGATCTTGGCCTCGGGGGCGCGAACACAGCGTAATTTTCTATGGATTATTTTGTCGGGAGCGCGAATCTCATGTATTTTCCAACGGCCCTCCAGAAACTCAGACAACGCGATTCGGGGACGCTAACCAGGGCCCTTTTCGGCTCCCCCCCTCGCGCGGACAGTAACAATTTACAGTAAGAAGCAGAAAGCAATACTGTAACATTGGAAACTGGAAACTGGAACTGGTGCAGGGTACTGAACCTAATCCTCGCAGCCTGATGGCCCCGCAAGGGGGCCGGCGGATTGTCTATCTGTCGACCAGTCTACATGTCGGGTCAGCCATCGGGACAGCCAGCACATGTGTTGTCACATGTTGACGTGAATCTCGAGGCGCCGAAGGTTCCGAAGGCGCCGAGATCATCTTTGTTGCCGAAATCCATCGGGACGACCATCGGGACGGCCGTCGGGACAGCCATCGGGACAGCCATCGGGAGTACCATCGGGACAACCATCGGGACAACTACGAAACAGCCATGGGACAACCATCGGGACAACTACCGGAACAATCATCGGGACAACCGTGGGTATATTCATCGGGAGAGCCGTCCAGACAGCTATCGAGACAGCCGCGGGACAAACATGGGGACAACCTCAGGGCAACCATCGGGACAGTCACCGGGACAACGGCGAGAACCGCGGGACAACCGCGGAACAACTGAAAGGTACCATTCGCAAACTGTGGTGCCGGAGGAACTTGCCTTGACTTCGCCTCAGCAGCGGCGGGACCTCTCCTCTCACCCACGTGCGCAGCTTCGCCCGCACGCTCAACACAAGCACGAAGCCGAAGCCGATTTCCCGGTGGGGGGTCTCTGTGTTATTTCGATCTCTCCCCCGCTTGCTTCCGATGCAACAAAACTGTCAGGCCAGCGCCGCTTGGCACGCGTACCAGGACAAATTGGCCCATCAGTTGCTTAGCGAGCACCCAGATGGCCAGCGCAAGAAGCCTTACAAGATTCTCGTCGTCTCTGCGGTCCACGACACAGACTCGATGGTCGAGATCTTCGAGGTTAACATGAACCGGCTGCTCGCCAACAAGCAGGGGGACAAGTTTGAGTTTGCCATCTTCCACATCGACAGCAAGGCCACGGAGTGGAAGAAACGCAAGTGGTACAGGAGAAGAAGGGGACCGGTGGTCATGAAGAAGCACGGTGCGGGATGCAAGCCCCAGTTTTGGGCGCAGATCACCCCGATGATGGTGGCTACGGGCAAGTACGACTACGTCTGGCTGTTGGACGAGGACATCCGCCTCGATTTCCTGAACTGGGACTTCTACCGGACGGTGCTCTCCACGGTGGACCCGCTTGTCTCCCAGCCGGTGATCGTCCCGAAGCAGCCGGGCAAGCGGTCCACCGGGGTCACGAAGCTGCAGATGAAGGTGCCCGAGGGCAACAACTTCATGATCGCGTACGAGACCCAGCGCAGCGAGGTTCAGAGGATGAAACGATACTGATGCAGTTGCTTGTCCTGGAGAGCCCTCGTCGCCATGGCTGGATGCTCCTCGAAATTCTGGTCAGCACGCGCCCCAGGAGAGGTCTGGGGAGTCGCGGTATCGGAACCTTTCTGCCCCCCAAAAGGTACAGGCACCCATCATCTCGAGCAAGATCTGGGACGCGGTGCACGAGCGCAACATTAGAGGAACAAGCAGTGGCATAAACATAATGTTTGGACGTCTGTGCGGATTTCTTGGATCCGCGCTGGACCCGCCCTCCCTGGCGCGCTCCGCGCGCCAGGGAAGGCGCTGGAGGCGCCGCCAGGGGGCCCCAGCGCAGATCCAAGAAATCCGTGCGGAGCTCCGAAAGTGTGTGTTTATGCCATTCCTCGTTCCCCGAAACATGCAGAACGACCGCCGGAACGACTGGTACATCGACGACTTCTGGGACGTCATCGCGTTCCTCGGCGAGGACCGATGCTGGAAGACGGGGTCGCTGGCTGCGGCCTGGTGGCCGCGACGACGGCGATGACGACGGCGACGGCGGCGACGACGACGACGACGACGACCCGTCGGTGAGGACCAGTGCCAGAAGACCGGGGTGCTTGCTGTGAACGGCGCCCCCGTGCGGCACATGGATTGCCACAACCTCTTCAAGGGCACCAAGTGCGTCGAGGCTTGCGGCGAGGACGACGCCAACTGCCGGGCGGTCAGCAAGGAGGAAGAAGCAGCATTGGCATAAACTATTCGGTGGTCCGCGGGGGTTTCTTGGATCGGCGCTGGAACCCTCTGGCGGCGCCTCCGGCACCGTCCCTGGCGCGCTCCGCGCGTCAGAGAGGGGGGTCCAGCGCAGATCCAAGAAATCCGCGCGGACCTTTAAACGCAAATATAGATACATCTGTGTATATATGTGCATCCATTTTGTGCTCCTATAGGTCAGCAGCACGGAGGAGTCGCTGGTGCGAGAGGCGCTGAAGGACGCGGGCTGCGACGTGCCCAGAGATTGGGCAAGGACGTCGGGTGACGTCGGGCGCGGCGGCGACGGCGACCGGCGACCGACGACCGACGACCGACGACCGACGACGACGACCGACGACGAGGACCGACGACCGACGACGGACGACCGACTAAGACGACGGACGACGCACGACGGACGACGGACGACGGATGCCGACGGACGACGGACCACCCCACACCCACAGGAGAAGGGCGAGGGGTGCACCCGCACACTCCACCACGCCACGCCCACAGGGCCACGACCACGGGGGGGGGGTCCGGGGGAACGATCCCATTCGCCTGGCCTTCGCGAGGCGCACGGGCGTACCCATCAAGCGGGGGGGGGGGCTCGATCCCCTACATCTGCGTTGGGGGGGAAAGGGGGGCGCAAACCTGGATGGGAGGGGAGAGAGGAGGCGGAGGAGGAGGAGGAGGAGGAGGAGGAGGAGGAGGAGGAGGAGGAGGAGAGGAGGAGGGAGGAGGAGCAGGAGGGGGATGACGAGGAAAGGAGGAGGAGGAGGAGGAGGAAGACGAGGAGAGGAGGAGGAGGAGGAGGAGGAGGAGGAGGAGAGGAGGAGGAGAGGAGGAGGAGGAGAGGAGGAGGAGGAGGAGGAGGAGGAGGAGGAGGAGGAGGGAGGAGGAGGAGGAGGAGAAGGAGGAGCAGGAGGAGGAGGAGAAGAGGAGGAGCAGGAGGGGGAGGACGAGGAGGAGGGAGGAGGAGGAGGAGGAGGAGGAGGAAGAGGAGGCGGATGAGGAGGAGGAGGAGGAGGGAGGAGGAGGAGGAGGGGGAGGAGGAGGAGGAGGAGGAGGAGGAGGAGGAAGAGGAGGAGGAGGAGGAGGAGGAGCAGGAGGAGGAGGTCCGTAGCCATTTTGGCTCACGGCTAAACGTTGTGAAGGGCTATAAACGCCTGAGAAGCAGCGATTAGCTTTGTGGCCCGTCCGTGGCCACTTGTCAAGGCCTTTGGCCTGGTCTTTCGCACCCACGATCCCCACGGGAGCGCTCGGGCGCCGTGGGATCCTTTCAGGCTTCGTTCAGACGACCTCTCGCGATCCAGCCAGCTCATCCCCTCAGCCATGGACGCCGCCGAAGCTGCCCAGCTGGCTGAGCAGATCGAGGCCGCGCCGACGTTCCCCGACAGCGAGCGCCAAGAGGATCGCAGCCGCTCTCCCCACGAAGCGGTTCGAGAATATGATTTCGAGTCAGCCGACGAAGGAGCTGCAGGGCCTGCTGGGGCTCGCCGTGCGGCTCGCAGTGCTGCTCGTCATGACGGTGTCCGTGACGGAGCTACCCGACGCTCTGAGGCCCCCGCCCGTCGCCCGACTCCACAGCCCGCTCGCCGTGCCCAACCTGCTTATGGTGAGGACGACGCACTCGGTGTGCTACGCACGTATGTGGACAGCACCAAAGATGAGTTATTGGTCGCATCAATGCTATCCAGACCTCCGTCACCGCGCTGGCGTCAACCGTCCAGCGGAGTTGCTCTCAGCTCGGGCAACAGGTCGAGAAGCGAATGGCCACAGTGGAAGCCACGCCGTCCAGCCACGCCAAGCTCATCGAGGCCCTCGACTCAAAGATCACCCAGCTCCAGAAGGAGATCGGCCTCATGCGCTCTGAGACCCCCGCCAAGGTGGAGGTCAATTCCTCGTTCCAGCGTGAGCCCGACCCCACCATCATCATTTGCCGCACCAAGACGTTGGTGCCTAGGTCGAATATCATGGAAAGTGTCCGTGGGTGGTTGGAGGCCGCCAACTGCGGTGATAATGACTTCGACTTGGTCTCTGAACCCACCTCCAAGAGGTTCACTTTGCAGTTCAAAGGTGCGCCAGCCTTCGCCGCCAGGAAAGTCAATATGTGCCTGTCCCAGCTCAAGATCGGCCCGAACAATTGGCGCCGATTCAACGCTCAGGATGTTCAGAACCAGACCGTCGAGGTGCACGTCTCCGCCGACAAATCTCTGTACCAAGTCAAGGTTGAGCTCCTTCTCAAGCAGCTGCGCAAGACGATCCACGAGCTCTACCCGCAGATCGAGCTGTTCGCGAATAAGGCCCGCGGTGAACTCTCGCACCGCTGGAAGCCTCTCCTCCGCGTCATCCCGAGTGCAGACGCTGACCACAAGGTGGAATGGGTTCTGGCCAACCTCGCGGAGCTGCGCATGGACAAGGATACGATCGCTCAGAAAATCCAGAAGCACCTGTCCAACGCACAGGACATCCAGTGGTCTCTTTGACACATTTTTCAAACAGTGGCGAGGAGTCTCTTCCTCGCACGTGGGGCTCACTTGCACTTCGTGGAATGCGAGAGCGTTATTCCACCGCGACTTGCGGCTTAGAGACCGCAAGTTGCGCTACCTCTCCAAGCTCATCTCGCCCAACTCCATCGTTGCCGTCCAGGAGTCGCACGGGGATAGGCATAGGGTCGATGATTATCTGTATAATATGCACCGTCCTGTTTTGGCCTGCTCTTCGTTCCGACGTTGTGTGCCTGGGCACCCAGCTGGCGGCATCATCACGTTCTTCCCCATTTTTCGTGCCCTCCATCATCCTCATCCTCCCCAGGTCTCTGAAGAAGCACTGGTAGAAGGTCGGGTTCTCCGTGTGCAGTTTTGTTTTCAGGACCGCGTCTCCCTGGTGCACTACAACATCCACAATCATGGGCTCACAGCGGGATCCCGGGACAGGGTACTCAGGAGAATCCAAAGGGACCTTCAGGAAGCTGATCGAGACCCTATTCGCAAACTTGTCATCGTACACGGGGACCTCAATATCGCTAGTTGCCCTCCCGTTCCGCCCTGGACTCCCAAGCTCCCGCAGGCCCCGCCACCGGCTCCCAAGACCCCTCTCAAGACCGTCGACGGACCTCCGACAGGGCCTGGGATACGATTTTGAAGGCCATGGTTGAGTTGGACAGCGAGGATTTCACGCACTTCCATGAAGGGACGCGGACTTTGGCCAGGATCGACCGCGCTTTTGTGTCCTGGCCAGGCTGGAGCCTGACGCAGTTGAGCACGGTCACTAGGGTGCGCGGCCTCCCCGAAATCCTGAATCGCACTCACCTCTCCGACCACAGAGCGCTCATGTTCTCCATCTCGCCAAGCGAACCTCTTCCTCCAGAAGATAGGCCAGTGCACCCCGACCTTTTCAGTGCGCCCGAGTACGCTAGCTTTATCAAGACAGTGCTGACGCAGTCCTCGTGCGAGGGCATGTCGGTGCCGCAGCAGCTGGAGTATCACAAGATGGCGATGAAAGAGGCAGCCCGATTCGCCAGAGACTCGGTCGTCGTGAAGAGGCCCCTGGAACCCCTGTCGCAGTACATCGCGTGTCGTTCGATCGCCAGGGCCCTTTGGAAGCAGGATCGTACACTTGCGGAGAAACTCGTGCTCGCCCATTCTATCGCTCGAGAACATCTTCACCTGCCAGCTTTCAGCTCCGATGTCGAGCTGAAGGATCCTGTTAGGTTCACTCAGCTGACGAATGATGTCCACTTGCACCTGATTGCGGACTCCCAGAAGAGGACCAGGCAGCAGTTAGGCGAGGATTCCCCAGCCCGTGCCAGCGCCAAACTCGTGAGGAAGCTCAAGGGATTGGAACGCCGCACAAAAACTCTGGTTGCTCTACGGACGAAAGCTTGGCCTCGCTGGCCTCGCCCTCCCCGACGGTTCCGTCGCCCGCAACCCGAAGCTCATGCTCGGTGGATTGGCTCGGCATTTTGGGGAAGTCTTTTCCGAGAAGCCTGTTGACAGCCAGGCCGCCAGAAGGTACGTCCAGAAGTTTATGGGTGGCATCCACCTCTCTTTCCTCAAGCTTCCTACCCAGTATGATATTGCCCGTCATCTCCGAAAGTGCCCACCTAGCGCCCCAGGACCCGATGGGTTCCCATATAAGGCATGGCAACACCACCCAGAGGGCCCCAAGATGCTCACGGAGGTCATGCACTGGATGCTTGAGGGGAACCAGATGGGGCCCAACTTCAATGATGTCCGGGGCGTTTTTTTGGGGCCAAATGCGACCTGCCTGGCGATGCCGCTGGCCCTGTGCGTGAGCCTGGTGCGACGAGACCGCTCGGTCTCAAGAACGCAGATTGCAAGGTGGTCACGGCCGTATGCACGCACGAGCTGACGAAAGCACTTCCCGACAAAATCGACAAACTCGACAAAATGCAAAGGGGGTTCATTCCTACTCGAAACCTCGGCATGAACATTTTCGAGCTCGACGCCTACGCGAGAATGACGGGGCTCGAACCATCTGCCTCTGAGCGCCTCCCCCTCCTCCTCGCCTTCGACTACAGTCACGCTGTTCCCTCCGTTTCCCATGAATGGATCTTCCTCGTCCTCTCTGCGTGCTCCCTCCCACCGCCCTTGCTAATCTTCTACCAACTTATTTAGTCATTTGTGTGCTGTTTTTGTCAAGCGGGTTCCTCCCTCCGCCCCCTCTTTTTCCTTGGGTCTGGCATCGTTCAGGGCTGCCCTGCCTCTGGGACTTTGTACGCCCTTGCATCCGAGCCTTTCAACGCCCACTTCAGAATGTCCATTTTGAGCAAGTGTCGAGGCATCATCCGTTGCTGTGCCGACGATGTAGGGGGCGTCATCCACCGAATCGAATGGCTTAAGAAGCTCTACGCCGTGTTTGCTGCAGCAGAGCGTGTCGCGGGACTCCGTCTGAAGATCATCAAATGCTTTGCCGTCCCCCTCTGCGCCGCCTTTTCGCCCGAGCTGAAAGCCCGCGTGGAGAGTTGGCTCGTGGCCGAGCTGCCCGCGTGGGCGAAGTTCTCGATTGTTTCTCATCTTACTTACCTCGGCATGAAGCTCGGCCCCGATGTGGTGCACCAGATGTGGACAGAGCCTCTTGAAACAGAGTATTCTCGCGCTGCTGGAATTGCCCGTGCAAGGCCGCCGCCAGATGTCACAGCGAAGCTCTACAACCAAAGATCTGTCTCGACCCTCGGTTACGTTTCCCAGTTTGCCCCTCTCCCCCCGCACATTCCCCAGAAAGAGCACGCTGTCCTGGCCCGTCAATTTGCGGTCGCCCATTGCGACCTTGCCCGCGCTGATTTCTTTAATCTCCCCGACTGGGGGTGCCCGAGATTCCAGAGCCTCACTGTCATGAATCTTGCCACCCTGATTCGCAGCGCGTTGCGCACATTTGAGGGATGGCCATGGTTGCACGCCAAGATGCAATAATGTGCTGATCGGAGCCTCCCTATTGTGCGGTTTCTGGCCGGGGACCTCTCTCCTTCTTTCTGGTGCCCCCCTCCCCTCGTCCAAGCCCTGGCCGACGCCGAAGGAGGGTTCCCCAAGCATCCGAATTGGAGTGCCGCCGCCACGGTCGCCGTACAGATTGCCCGAGACGCCAGGGCGGACCCCAAGCTGCAATACAAGATCCAGCGTCCCGTCTCTGCCAGCCTCCTCTCCTCGCTCTCCCCCTCCGCCTTGCATCTGACCTTTACCCGTCGCCTGCTCTCTTATTTCCCCGCCTCCTTCCCCGCAGTCGCCAGAATCAACTGGGAAGAGGTGCGGGTTGTGATCTACGCTCTGCCGCCCTCTTGGGCTATTGCTGTAGTGAAGACGCTGTGTGGAGGATGGCCCACTCGTCCAGGTTTCATGACCCTGGTGGGGAGCAGCTCTGTTGCCTGGGGTGTCCTAAACCAGATGTTATTGCTCATTATCTCGTGTGTCCCAAGTTTTTGTCTCTCGTGAGCAAAGTCTCGAAACGAATCCTGCCAGGGTGTCCTATCGCTCGCCTCGGTTTCCTCGCCCCCTCGCCTGCCTCGTTCGCCGTTACTGTCGTGTCGTACTCCCTCTACCTCCACCTCCCCCACCTCCCCCAGGCGAATTCAGCCCTAGGCCTTTCGCCGCAGGACGCCGAAGGTATTCTTCCTGCTGTACATGATGCAGTTTCCAGGCACATGCAGGCGGCAGCCTGCTGAGGACAGACCCGAGCGCCCCCAGCTACGAGCCAGGAGCAGGAGGAGGAGGAGAAGAGGAGGAGCAGGAGGGGGAGGACGAGGAGGAGGAGGAGGAGGAGGAGGAGGAGGAGCAGCAGGAGGGGGGGGACGAGGAGGAGGAGGAGGAGGAGGAGGAGGAGGAGCAGCAGGAGGAGGAGGAGGACGGGAGGGCAACCCTGGATCAAAAATCGGTTCCCGGCCTCCGCGGCGCGCTCCCCGACGGGGCCCCGCCTTCGGCACGCCTGGCCTTGGCGGGGGCTGGCAGCAGTGCAGTCGGGCCGCTGGCGAAGGAACCCTTTTCATTGGGGAGGGGCTCAGTGCTCCTTGTCTTTAAAAGTCGGGCCTGTCTCTCCACAGGAGGATTCAATCAAACAATAATCTAGGGACGATGTTTGGATTATTTTGGAACATTTGTGTGATTTTTTTTCGTTGGGGTATTGTAAATTTGTCGTCCTAAATCCGCCTGTAGGGGGGCACGCCCGACCTAACCTTAATTGTTTTGCAGTTCACCTTTGGTTCTCCCCGGTTTTCTGTGGGACATCGAAGCTGAACTTCTGGAACAGAGGGGGCCTCGTTCCTTGTTTAGGGTTTCTTTGGTCAGCGTCTCGACCGTGCAACTCCGAGGAGGAAGAGATGTACCGATGTCGCTGCTCGTCCTGGAAGCCCTCGTCGCCACCGCTGCAGGGCTCATTTCGACCCCTCCGATTCGATTCGAATCCGATGGCTTCCGATCCCGATTCGACTGGGCTTCAGGTTCCGATTTGGATTTGGATTTATCCATGGAGGCCGACTAGCCTTCTGATTTCCGCCGGCTCGGCTTCTCCCGACTCAGCTGCCGATGTCCGCTGATCCTGTGCATTTCGATCGCCGATCCCACTTATCGATGCGGTTCTGGGCCTTCCTGCAGTTGGGTTTTCTTTGAAATTCTGGTCAGAACTCACCCAGGGAGAATTCTATGGAGCAGCGGTGTCGGTGCCCTTCTGTTCACACAGCGTCGGGTCCGCCGGCCCTGCGGAAGGAAGGCGGCGGAAGGAAACGTGAGGCGCCAACAGTTTTGGATGCAGGGGTTCCGAGCGCCCCATGTGCAGAGGCCTCCCAGATGGGGTCCGAGTAGATGGGGTCGGAGGATCGCGCCGCATCGACGATACATCGGCGATGCATTGACGATGCATCGTCGACGTCGGCGATGCACTGGCGACGTCGACGTGGAGAGAATCGGGCTCCACATCAAGCCGCAACGCCGATGCATCCACGATGCAGCGGAACCTGCGACCCCATTTACTTCGGCCCCATGTGGGAGGCCTAGAATGTGAGACCATCAAGGTCTGGGTCCGAGTCGGGCTTGTGGAGGTTCACTGGCGGATATGCCCCCTCAGGAGGCCTTGAGCCAGGCGTAGACATCGTCCAGTTCCCGAGGATGGATGGTGCCGCTCTCTATGCCGTAGCCTCCGAGGCTCGAGGCTCAGGCGTGTGCACGGGCTCTCCAGCACCTCTGAGTGGCCCCCTCGTCGAGCGAGGCCAGCGACAACGGCACTGCTCCTACTTCGTGGTGGCGCAGTGAGTCTCTTGTCATCGCTCGGACGTGTGCGTGTGTTTTGGGCCAGGACCATCGAGGAGGGTCTTGGATCATCTTGCGAAAACGGAGCGCACGAAGCCGACGGATGCACGGGGAAGGGACGCCCGAGCGATGCCGAGTTCTACCCCCTCCCGCAGGATCTGCGGCGACAAGGACATCCACGCGTGCCACACGGCGCTCTGGGAGAGGAGCCGCAGGAAGACCTGGCTCGCCCCGCTGTAGGCGCGGGGCCAGGGCGGCAGCCTTCCCCGCTGCGGCGTGCCTCCTCCTCGCCCTCTCCTCTCTGCCGCTCCTCCGCCCGTGCTCTCGGCACCGCTCGGGCGTGTGCACTCTTCGCGGCGAGGACCACCGAGGAGCATCCTGGATCGTCGAGCGGAAGAAGAAAGCACACGCACGAAGCCGATGCACGAGGAGGGGAAGTCCGAGCGATGGCGAGTGCTCCTCGCCGCACCACCCCTTTTCCTGCCCCTCTGCCCCTCGATGGGCAAGAAACAAGCCATAGACAAACGTGGCGGCGAGCGATGGGGGGGGGGGGCAGGAGAAGGGTGAGGCCTTCTCAGAAAGCGGCGCGACTTCTCAGAGAAGCCCTCTGGCCTTCTGAGAGGTTCCCTGTTTCTTCGGGGAGGGCTTGGGCAGCTTCTTACAAGGCCGGGTGAGACTTCCGGTGCCTTCTGAGAAGGCCCGCCCCCTCTCACTCCCCCCCAAGCTCGCCGCCGATCTTCCCCTCGAAGAACAGAAGAACCACATAAACACAAACTGTCGGAGCTCCGCGCGGTTTTCTTGGATCTGCGCTGGCCCCCTCGGCTCCGCGCGCCAGGGAAGGGGGGCCCCACGACGATCCAGGAAGTCCGCGCGGACCTCCGACAGCTTACGTTGATGCATTTTTCCGAGGCGGGGACTCAGACATATCCACAGCCTAGAGGATCGATTTTCGGAGACCTCGACAGGCGGTGGATATGGATATACTCGGGCCCGCTGGGGTCACAGAGCGTCGGTTCCACAGGCGGTGGATGTGGATATATCCCCACACCAGAGAGTCCACCAAGTCCCCTCCCGTAGCGCTCCAGCAGTAGTCTCGAGGATTGGGAAGGCCTTGCGGCCGGTGCCGCCGACCCTCAACGGGGATGACGACCACGACGGCGGCGTCGGCGGCGACGACGACGCTGACGTGGGGCAGAGTCCTCAGAGATGCTTCGCGGGGCCTCTTCGGAGCGCGCTTGCAGGTCTCTGAGGGGTAGTTTTGGGGGCCTCTTGGGAGCCTCTTGGTATTCATCTCCCCAAACCGGAGAGCCCACCAAGGCCCTTTTGCAGGGACCCGGCATGAGCCCCATCGGGGATCTCCCGAAGTTTGTCAAAGCTGCTCTTTCGGACCTCCTTTCCGAGTCTCTGGCCTCCCCCCGTGCCAGTTTGTCTCGCCCCCAAATCGATGTTTCACGGCCCCGGGGCCCGAAACGGGCCCCCAGAGGTCGACGTCGAGGGGAAGCTTCCCCCCTTAGGGTTATGCCAAATTCACGACGGGAGGTTTTTCGCTGCTCTCGGACCCAGGTGGCCCTTACCGGGCCTCGGCACCGTCAGAAAACGATTCGGGGGTGAAAAATCGGGTCCCAGGGAATGGGTTGAGACTTCTGCCTGGGGGTCGACGTTTTTGAACAAATCATCACTTCGGAGGTCTGGGTCTATCGCGCTTTCTTCTCCCAGGCCTCGACGTCGTGAGTTTTGTGCAGCGTGGACCTCTGGAGGTCTCGACCAGTTCCCGGGGGCCGACTCGCCATCCTGAGTTGTCTTTGTTACGGCCTCGGGGCTTGGCAAAGGCCCCCAGAGGCCGATAGTTGCCGAAAGCCTCCCGCTGTGGTTTGTTCGCGACTCGACGGGGTCCGGATGTCCTCCTCCTTTTCTGGCCGCTGGCACTTGGCTGCCTGGCAGGCATCGCCCGCCGGGCCGCTGGCCAGTCCAGCACCGCCCGCCAGCTCTAGCGCCGGCGCGCGTGCGGCTGGACGTGCACCTGCCGCGGACAATACCATCAGCGGCCGATCAACGGCCCAAAAGAGTCATTGCCGCCCTCGGGGGCGCCTGTTCCAGGCTGGCTGACGAGGTTGCGCCCCTGATTGCGCCGGCACGCGTCCAGGCCTCCCAGATGGGGTCCGAGTAGATGGGGGCGATGCGTCCGCAATGTGGCCCGATGTGGAGCCGAATTTGTCGACGCCGACGTCGCCGATGCATCGCCGATGTCGCCGATGCTTCGTCGATGCGTCGGCGATGCATCGGCGATGCGGCGCGATCCTCGTACTTGGTACGGTCGCACCCGGTCTGACTTCACCTGGGAGGTCTCTCACGTGGGGTCTCATTTTCAAGCCGCCTTGGGACAGACGTCCCAGATGGCGGATCAGTTTGTCTCTCATACCATCATCTTACAGGCGGCCCCCCTGAGATTGCACGCATGCCCACGCTTGATCGGTTGGTTGTCTTTTCCTCTCATGTCGGTCTGGGCTGTGAGCTGGCTGGCTGGCTGGCTGGTTACGCGCGCGCAATCACTGGCAAGGGATGGTGGCCTAGGGATCCTATGGGGAGCGCGCATGATGTCAGACTTTCGAGGACGGGTTGCCTCGGGAGCGCGCGTGTCGTACTTTGCGCGGGACTGCGGCCTCGGGGGCGCGCGAGCGTTGTCATGGCGCATGGCATGGTGGCTTCGGGGGGCGCGCACTGGGATGGATTTAGAGAAAGGGCTGTGGCTCCGGGAGCCGTAGCGCGCTACAATGTCCAAGCGATGGCAGCCCTGGGAGCGGGAACGCGCTGTAATTTACTGGGCATCGCGGCCTCGGGAGCGCGCGTCTGTAGTAATTGACAGCATCGTGGCCCCAGTAACGCGCATGCGCCGTAATTTGCGCGGGGTGGTGGCCTTGAGAGAGCGCGCCGTTCATTTGTACCAGGGGTCGCGGCCTCGCAAGCGCGCGCACGTTTCAAGTAGCGATTGATTGCGGCCCCTCGGGCGCACATCAGCTGTAATGCACGAGGTTCGACGAACCGAAAAATCATAAACATGAGCTGTCAGAGCTCCGCGCGGATTTCTTGGATCGTCACTGGGCCCCCCCTGGCGGCGCCTTCGGCACCGCCCTTGGCGCGCTGCGCGAAAGAAATTCGCGCGGGGCTCCGAAAGGTTCTTCCCCAATCAGTGCTTGCACTGAAGGGGTCCTCGCGGATGTTGAAGGATTTGGCGAAAGTGCCCCGCCGATTTTGGTCGCACGCTGGGTTCCCAGGTTCCCAGGTTCCGGGTTCCCGGGTTCCCGGCTCCGGGTTGCGGGCCGATTTCGGAGGGCGGTTCCCAGGTTCCGGGGTTCCTGGTTGATCGTCTTATCGATCGGTCTCACCATCGATCTCATTACCGATTTCTCGATCGATCTCACCATCGACTTCACAATCGATCTCACTATCAATCTCACAAGCGATCTCACTAGAGATCGCATGAGCGATCTCGCGATCGATCTCACTATCGATCTCATTTAATCGATTTTACTCTCGGTCTCACGATCGACCTTACACTCGTCCTCACTATCGACCTTACAATCGTCCTCACTATCGGTCCCACTATTCCGTTTGTTTTTTTTCTGTTTAAGAGGTGTTGTGGCCCAGGCGCTCGCATGCGCAGTTTTCGCACGTGTCTCAGGTTACCCAGATACTCAGAGGGACTTGATTCCGTGGTGGTACGTAATGCATATTATGTTCGGCCAGGGGGTTCGTACGCTGTGCAACCTTGCAACTTTGGAGCTATGGGGCAAGGCTTTGCGACAGTTGACACCCTGGGGCAGAGGAATTGCATTGGAACTTGTACTGGAACCGAGAAGCCAAGGACTGGTTGCAAGGTGCTGAAGCTTTCACCCAGCCTTGTGGCCCCCAAAGGGGGAGGCGGATCGCCCGCTAAACTTAGCTCACCAGCCGAGGTGTTCAAAAAAGATGGTCGTGCACTGTTTGTAGAATTGGGGAGGAGAATCGACGACATCGCCCGAGAGAATCTGCCCCGATTTCGGCATCTGGGGCCCGTTTCAGGGGGCGAGGCCGTCGTCAGAAATCGATCCAGAACGGAAGTTGGCCAGGACGGACCCCAGGAGGGGTTGAATCGAGTTCTGTTGGTCGGGGGGTGATGTTGGTGTGAGGAGGAGGATCAGGGGAAACATCAGAGGGGGGATATGCTCGGGGGGGGGGCCATCGGCCCCCAATCGCCTAGTCATCGCCGATAGTAGCCCGATACGACACCCCGCCCAGGAACGTGCGGATTCGCTGTCGGGGGCATATCGCCGATCTATCGGCGATGTATCGCCGATTCCAGGTCGATGTTCTTCCCCCCCCCCCCCGTGCAAGTTCCCTCTTATCGTTGCCCCTCAGAGGAGCAGGATGAGGAGGAGGAGGAGGAGGAGCAGCAGCATCAGCAGCAGCAACAGTGCAACCACCAGGTCTCGCCATGGGGCGTGAAGCAGAAGAGCGTCGGCTGGCAAGTCCAAGAGGCTCTGCACGCGACAAGCTACGATTGGCAAGCTCGCGCGCTAAGAGGTGGCACCTCGCCCTTGCTCTCCGTATGCTTCATGGGTCCAAAGCCGTGGTGACCCGCGGGGGCCAGCTCACCATCGAGCAACTGTGTGCAGCGCGCGCCTCCGCCCTGCATGGAGCGTTTCAAAGAGTGCATCGCTTCCGAGGATCGAAGGAGCTGCCAACTCTTCCTCGGCGGAAGGCGGCGGACGTAAAACGAGGCCGCCTCCGCTGGCGGAAGCCGGCAGACGTCGGCGGAAGTAAACGATGCACCCCCAAGATATACAACAACGTTGTTGGATTCAGGTGTTCCGTAATCCGCCACATGCCACCGACTGCTAGGTTCCGAGGACCTGCTGCGCCTCAGTTGCGGTCAATCCCTTCCTCTATTCCTAATCCATCCTCCTTCGCCCCCCCCGTTCCCTTCCTGTACTGTTCTCCCTTCCTCCGTCCTGCTCCTCCTCCTCCTTATAGCCCCGTTGTCCCTCCTCCCTCTCCTCCTCCCTCCTCCTCCTCCCCCATATTCTTCTGGCTCCACCTCTTTAGTTATGCTCCATTCCACTCCCCCTCCCCCTCCTTCCTCTCCTCGGTCTCCTTCGAAACCTTCCACTCTTTTTCCCAAATCGTCACCGTCCGACTTTTCTCTTTTAATTTAACAGCCCTCCTCCTTCCTCTATTTTCCTCCCGTTCGTCTCCCTCCTCCCGAGTCCCTCCTCCGCATCCGTCTGGTCCTGCCCCGCCTTCCCCTCCGCCACCCCTCCTGCTCATTCCCCCAATACTCCCCTCCCCAATCTCCCAGTCCAACGCGCCAGCTCTTCCTCCTCCCCGTCTCTTCTGGCAGTGATAGTGAGGAGTGGAGGCAGAAGTAGGATAAGGCGAAGACGGCAGGTATTCGGTATGAGCAGCAGCAGGAGGTGGAGGCGGAGGCGGAAGAGCAAAGGGTA